GTTCCACCTCATCAATCAGAAAGGAATTCCTTCCGGTCGATGGAGTTCTTATACCTCATCGATCTGAAGGAATCCTTCCGATTGATGAGGTATAACAACCTCATCGACCGGAAAGGATTCCTTCTGGTCGATGAGGCAACAACCTAATGTTGTTGAGACTGTACATCAAGACTGTACAGTCTCAATGACCAGAGGAATCCCTCCGGCCATTGAGACAGTGTACAGTCTCGAAGGCCGGAGGGTTCCCTCCGGCCTCAACAGGTCCGTGTACGGTGTAGGACACCAACTGGTGTCCTACATGGGCCGCTGACACCCTGGTGCAGCCCAACACTCCCAAAACCGCATTTTCAGGGCGGGTGTCAAGGTGGGTACCCGGGTACCCGCCGTTTTTTGTCCCAAAACTCGACACCCGCACCCGCACGCAGCACCCGCGGGCGGGTACCCGCTCAGCAAAACAGGTACCGGGTACCCGCAAACGAGTACCCGTTGCCATCTTTAGTAGGCTGTAAGGCCTGGCCAATGACTTCCCATTCAAGACTGACAAGTCTAGGGACATTGTTATCAACCACTTTGGTCAACTTATCCACTAGCTGATTTTCAACAGGGAGCCCTCAGCAACATATGTACTTACATGTCCAGGTTGGACATGTTGTTGCCTGTAGGGGGTTGGGCATGGCCAGTTCACCGGCTTGGATGGTGATTTGGTGGAAAGAAGATGGGGAAGGGGGAAGAACGGGGCTAGTGCTCTAAAGAGGGTGGCAGGTGAGTGTGGAAAAAGGTGAAAGCCCCAGATTGAAGAATGAGGACAGATGATTTCGGGGTTGGATTCCCCGGATCTACTCCCGGGGGGGGGCTTAGCTCGGTACTGGGTGAGATGTTCAGCTGAAAGAGCTCCTTATCAACCAACTCACCAGAAAACCAACATCCAACACCAACACCATCATCATCACCATCATCGTCATCGTCACCACCATCGTCGTCATCGGCCTGTTAACCGTTCACTTGGAGAGCTAGAAATCAGACCAGAGGCAGAGCCAGAGAATCATGGCAGAACCAGAGGATATCCAACAACACGCGGTAAGTAGGCATTACTCACTCACCCTGTCTACGTAAATGGCATTGAACTCACCAAAAACCCACTTGATGGTCATCAGGAACAACAGCAGCCACAAGAACCTCCTCATCTTGACCACCAGCCATCTCAACTTGATCCCCATCAACCCCCTGGCTCACCCACGAACGATCGAAGACATGTCCGACGCCGGAAGAAGCTGAGCGCAAA